AATGACTCAGTCGACCGTGAGGTGTTATTTCAGTGTTTAACTGTGAAGGGAGTATCCAGCAAGTACATAACGCTTACCAAACCTCTCCGCTCAAACTCACACAGCTGTGTAAAGGCTGATAGATAGTTGTCATATGGATTGACAACAACTAGTGGTGTCCGGCAGGGATGTCCACTGTCACTGTTCCTACCTAACTTCGTCATAGGCGTACTAAAAGACATAACCTTAGGGACCTCTGAATTCATAGGAATTGATCGACTCAGTGTAAGTCATCTAGTTGACTTAGATGATGCAGACGACATTTATTGTCTCACTAGGTGAAGAACATGACAAAATACAACGTCCTATGAACTCGTCCAGAGGAAATGTGACTATGCTTGCATGCCTTTCGCCTTCAACCGTCAAATGTTACATGACGCTCACGACTAGTCTGCAGTTACTCCCAGTTTATTGACACAACACAGTGAAGTAGTGCAATGTGCTGACCACTTCAATTACTTGACGACTTGCATCAACCCACCCAACGCACTGGTTGCTGATGGAAGCTGAGATCGCATACAGAAGACCTGCTTGGCATTCGCCAACTTGCATCATCTGTGGCACCGACTGCCGAGATATCTAACAATCTGTCAAACAACGAGTATACTGCACTGCAGTTCGTTCTGTCCTGTTGTATGGCTGAGACATAGTCGTTGAAATTAGAAGACAAGAACTCGTTACCAGCTTTCAATCACACATGTCTTTGTACCATTGCTTGCCTTCGATGAAATCACTGGTCTCTGAGTATGGTTGAGGTCACGCGAAGGGTACTAGGCAAGACAAGTAAGTCAAATGATGAGGTTGTGAACCTTCATAGTCTGAGATGGGTTGGACATGTACAGCGTATGCTGAGTCAACGCTTACCTCGACATGCCATGCTAAGGGAAGATGGATTAGGTTGGGAGAGGGTTCATAATTGGCCACATCAAGATGTGGCAAGAATCGATGAAGTCACTGACAGTCGAAGAGATCCAGACTACGTGCTTCAGGTTCTCGAGACGAAAGGGATCAATTGTTTGAGAAGCCTTGATGACATGGCTGAAAATCAGTCACAATGGGACAGATGTATTCTCCCTTTGAAATCTTCTACAGCTTGAGTGTTTGCACTAACCGTTATCTTCAGATTGTGTATTCTCTTAAACAACTTGGTCCACTTGAGCCAATGCACTTATGTGTGAGGTTCTGCGTTGATTTTTCGGTCTGTCTATCTATCTTTTCGAATCATCATGAATGATATTACTTGCTGGCTGAAGCCCGGGCAGTACAGTGTCATTGAAAACTGTGATTTGTTGTTTGATGATAGCTTAGTGTTTCGCCCAATAATGATCATCAGGTCCAGTGTCGTATAAGTGTTCTGAGAATGAAATCTCCATGTGTCAGTCAACTAAAAGCTTTTGAAAAACTTCAGTAAGTATGAAAGTAGTTAACAGTCAGACAAAGGACAGATAACTTTATCACTCGTAAAATATAGGAATATGTAATGTGGAGATGTATATGCTGAAGAGACGGTGGCTGATGATGGGTATTGATAGGCTCTGTTTTTTGACGTTGTAACATCAATTATGGGCGTCTTCATAACGATTTCACTTTTTTATCAACTGTCACGTTTCCTAATGTCCAGACACTTTTAGCATACAGTTTACTACTAATTGCCTTCGTTTCAAATTTTAATTTCTCCCAATCATATTATCCTCTTTCTATAATAATTTATCTCATAGTGGCTAGCAGTGGAATCCTTGACATACGTTTCGTTCTATTTGGGATTCACCAGCATTCCAATGAATGATAATGTTCGCACTATGACTCGAATCCTGTACCCATAATTTTAAGCTACAAAGTGTTATCCAGCAGGCCAGTGAGGGATAGGGCAATAAGAAGGCATTCACATAGAAACATCTATACCAACGGATGTAGAAGAATTCGATGCAGTATAACGACGGAGAATTATAAGCACCAACAAATAATAATCCTTTTATTATGTTTTTTTCAATGTTCTCAATGAAAAATATAGAAATCTGCTTCAACTTTTAAAAATCCTAACTGTCATTTAACAGCTACGCCTTACTGCCACACCTTTCTCCTTAGCAAAATTTCTAGTTGTGTCTACTTTATTACTATTAAGATGATTATCATTATTTTTACATACAGTCCATTCTCGAAATCGAGTATATTTATTCATAAGTGTTAGAAACGAAATGAACAGGTAGCTTACTATGCTTGACCTAAATTTCGTGATTTTTGAAACTCAGATCAATAAGGCGTACTTGTCGGCTTAAGTAGAGCTTTAATAAATCCTAGATACTTAGATCAGCCTTACTGAGCTCTTCGGTGAAAGAACTTTATCAGACGGTGGGGTAACCCCCTCACAGTACATTACGACATTTAGTAGCTAGGTTTTTACATTGCCAACTTGATTGATAGAACTCAGTTACCAATGAAAAAGGGATAACATTTGATTCGTTATAATTTCGTGAACAGTAAGTCAGTAAGTCAACTAATCAATCATTTAACCTCTGAGGCCTAATTCATGTTCTTGTTTCCAAAATCAATGTTCCATTAAAAAACTACCTCTGGAAGAGGTTGTCATCAAAACAAAGAGAATAGAAAAGTATATATGATGAAGTGGTTGACTGTATTCAGACCTAAGTCAGATTAGTGAATACATATATCTAATCACTAGAACCGTACGTGAACAATAACTGTTCCTCTTAACACCTCGTGTTTATCTACGTTGTACATATATCAGAAGAAAAAGATTAGTCGGAGAGTGTGCAACCACTACTTATGCTAGACAAAAATACAATTAGTCCTTTAAAAAAGCTCAAACTGTTTAACAGGATTATCCCTATCATATAAAACTATCTTAGCCATGCATTACTGTCATGTAGTGTTTACATTATTAACCTTGATATATCATACTTCTTATTTGTTTCTCTTTAACTTTTCTAATAACGCTGAGCAATAAACTATTACCCATAAGTACTTTATCAATGCTTAAACCTTAATAGGTGAAATAGAGGTGTATGAGCCTTTGAACCACTGTTTGGAAGAACAAACATATCAAATCCAATGAACCCTTACTTCACAACTATCTTCAGTAAACAAACTGTTTTCTTGAGTAGAGAAAGAACATAGACTGAAGTAGAATGACCGGAAAGTGAATCACGAGTGTGCTCCAGAGAGTTGTCTAAAAAGAAACTGATAAACAACTCTACATTCAATGATCTGAAACCCCTAGGGTCTCGTAAGCCGTATATGTATAGTTCACCGAAGATATATAAGTAAAATGTTTCTCTAAGACCCATACTATCTATAATTAACTTACTTCATTACAAAACCTCTCGCTGGCCTACAGAAAAGTTAGAACCTATACATCAACAGTTGGCTGTATATACTCTGAAGGATTCATTCCAGTTCGTTGAAGATTCTAATTCAAACTAACACCTTTAATAAGTTCGTATCAATTCGACCCAATGAACGACGGGATAATATAAGTAACAAGACATTTAATTATTAACTGATAATATTACTGAGTACTGCACAACTGACTGTAAAGATTCACAGTTTTATCAAGTTACCAATGACTGGTTAGGAGCAGTGATACTTTGTAACATCTAGTATTTTCAATTAGTGTGTTTGAACAATACCTATTGAGTAAGTAATCACTTATACAACGAGCACAACTAATGGGCTGTACTATTGGTTCTACTGAATTGTCAGATACAATTTACATTGTTTAGTAGTTGATTTTGTTAATTTGGAAATATTCTATAAATATTTTCCAATAAAAGCTCTGTTGACATTTCAGCTAATACACTACGAAGTATTGAGAAATATCAGTGTAAAGCCTACAGTGATTCTATCTCATATTTTTGTCTAATATATATATATATCCAAATTATTTAAAGTATATTTTTGATTACTTGATCAGTTTTCAAAGAAGTCGGATCACTTGATTTAGTTGGGATTAAAGCAATAAGTTAATCGACCAAGTAACAGACTATAGGTCCATACAAGTTGTGGAGTTATCTTGATATGATTATGGACAATAAATTATGTCTGAAACGTAATCCAGTAAACAATACTGTTACACTCTGTGTGTGATAAATCTAATATATCAATAAAAATGGAATTACATTCTATCACAGTGCACAAGTCTTACTTTTATATTAAAGTTGGTTTATTGTTTTCTGCCATTTTAAATTTTACACCATTGACCTAAGTATCTGGATCATACTCACACATTAGCACCTAGTTAACATAAACCTTATGACCTTTTAAGCATTTTGTGTATGTTTGCTTAATACGTTGAATATACTTGTTCCCCCCTCTAATCCAACTTCTGCTCTGGAATGTTCGTCTAATCTTTCTAAATATTAACAAACTGAATATATATATTTATTCAATTGTGTGTTTTCAATTACTTCTTATCTATGACACCTTTAGATCAAGCCGACAATTTTCGGTCAAGCTTTTCCGAGTTTGCAAACATTTTGTATAAATTGGTGTTAAGATTGTCAGTTAGTTGGAGGTAATTGGCAAGAAGCCTTCGTGTTTGCTGGTACTCGTCAGCAAGGTGTATCTACAACCTCCAAGAAACTGCTGTCCCGCCTGTGATTCGAACCCGCATCACCCAATGTTGTAGTCAGCGATGTTACCACTGACCTATTCGGGTAGCAACTGACCTCCCGTAGGACTGCACTTAGAACTAGACAACATGAAGTTGATCGCTCTCCGATGGATCAACCAATGTATGATAAAAATGTTTTAGGTTGTAAGCAGCTGATTGGAAACCACGAAATAAAATGCTAGAACTATTGTTCTTGTTCTCTTTAGATCACCATTCTCTCAGTACCTAAAAAATGCATACTGTTATCTAACAATAAAAAACAAATAATTGCAAATGCCTATATCCGTAAAAAAAATACTTCAGCATTATTAAAATATCATTAATTTCTTACCTAAAGCTTCAAGTCCTTCATTGTTAGAAATCTCTTGATGAGTTAAAGATGAACCAGAAGTATACTCTTCCATATCATCAATATCTAACTGTGCAATTGCATTACTCGGATTACTATCACCTGTACTATTATCATTTTGATGTTGACTAGAATAGTGAACATGTTGATGGCAATTATGATTAATCATCTTCTTATTCAGTGTAATTTTACTCATAATATCATCATCATCATCGTCATTATTATGTGATGGATTATCATAACCAGGTGTAATATGATCAAATTTTGTAGATGATAAATCAAGAATTTTTGTTGAAGTATTAGTTAAACTGCTTGCATCTGGCCATGTCCAACCAATGCTGAATAGACTATCTCTGACTGAAATTAAATGTCTGAGGGGTAAAAGAAGAAAAAAAAGGAGAAAATAATGGCAGAATAAAGTGAATATTTGAGGGGAAAAGAAGGAAGATGAGGACAGTGGTGATCTAGTGACTGTTAAGTGGCGACAAAAGGCAGCCAATAGGGGAATTATTTTCAAGTCATGATCACATCATGTTCGGGTCATGATTTATGCATGCGCTGACATGAGAACCTGATTGGAGAAGTTCGACCTCATACAAGAAATCGGATTGGTTCATTTATGGCCTCACTTTCTGAGAGTTTTGTAAATACATATATGTCATGTATTTGCTTAATAAAAGTTGTCGCTGTTCTTACAGTCACAGGCCGTCTTTGTCTTCTGATTTTTCCGCGGCTCAGTGAAGCAGAAGGTACTGAGGGAGGTTAGTCGTAAAGGTATTCGGTGGAGGTGTCTATTGAGTCTCGGTATTCATTATAACCACACGCGCAACCCTACCACTCGGTCGCAACAATGACAATAACAATACAAAGGATGATGACAAAGGCATTTGTGATCATGATAACAATTGAAGTATGAATGATAACAAAGTAGATTACGTAATATATGCAGTGGTTCATAGAAGGCATATAACTGAGAAGGGGATGAAAAAATTGATGGAAGTGGTAAATCAATTAAGTATTATGCAATAGGATTAGACAAGTTGATCAACATGAAATTAATGTTTTCTAAAAAGATTAAGACAATTAAGTGAAATAACATCGGAAACTAATCAAAGTGAAATCAATTCTAATAATAATAATAGTGATAAAGAAAGGATACAAAGCGGAGGGGAAGCTAATGGGGGTGGGATAGTGTTATGGCCGTGATGAAAACAGAGACTGTACACACGTTTTGTACACACAGATCATCGTTCAATATTTATCCCCACGGTCACCAGGTTTACTCCAATGGTCACGACTTCTCATTGGAACTTCAGGAATCATATCTCGAAACTAGTCACCAATGAGCACTAGATCAGTTTAATTTGAAGGTTTGTGGGGATTTAGTGATTTTTCAAGTTGGTATTTATCGTGGACTCATGGCTCAATGGTAACGTGCTGGCCGCGGGACCTGAAGGTCTTGAGTTCGATGTCAAGTGGTGTGCGGTTATGGGTGCGCACTGCTGCGAAGTCCCATACTAAGACAAAACAGCTGTCCAGTGCTCCCAGGTTTCCAATGTTCTTTCAACTGATGTCAGTCCATACCCACTTAAAATATCACTAAATCCCTACAAACCTCCATATTCAGTAGTTTAATTAAACTATCACAATTAGCAGACTACTTCGATGTCGTTAGTAGGTCGCTATCAGTTGATTGCTCTTACCAACCAGCAGAAATTATCGCAATGCTATTGTGAACTTGATATTATCTCTATAAAAACAATGTAAGTCATCTAAAAGCCTTAGACCATTATAGATGACAAACCGTGAATACAGAAAATCATAATTGGTTCCCAGATGACCGTCAAAAAGCACTCGAACCTTATTAGCGAACCTCAACGTCACATCATGAGTTTATTCAGAACGTCCTATTTTATTGAAAGGTCGTTGTATTTAAATGTTGTGTACTCCACTGTTTAGGGAGCAGCAATAAAATGACCATTTATTCTCTTATTCAACCATGTAAATACAGTTACACCCATACAAATCATGAATAGAGATTTTTTTGATAATGAAATGTAAACTGTTTCAATCGACAAAACAATAACAAAAACAACAATAGACGAAAACAGAAATAAGTTGGACAATAAAAGAAGAATGACTACAGAAGAACATTTAAAACTGAAACTAACTTTAACACAAGGACAAACATGACATCTTCACAATGCAAATCAATTATAGTGTTCATCAATGATAATGTTGTAATACCGAGCTATAAAAGAAAAACAAGTTTGAATCCATAAATATACAGATAACGAAATATATACATATAATTTACACAATGTAGAACTTACAAAAAAACATCAAAAGACCACATGGATTAATTTAACAAGCCATTGAGAAAGTGTTTGTACACATAGGGAAGCTTACATTCCATGTTATGTTTGATAAGCAGTTATATAGTGAGTCACTTAAAATATTGATCATTCTGTTGACAAAATGTGCTTAATATAAGAGTAAAACTTGGGGACTGTGGTTGATTGTAATTCTATTTTAGTAGCTTAATTAGAAATGTCACACAGTGAAGAAACAGTATCATTTACTGGATAACGTTTCCGACACAATTTATTGTCCATATTCATATCAGGATTACTCCACAACTCTTCAACAGTGTTTATATATTCCTAATTTTCTCTCCTTCTCTGTGATGACAAGGGTAGTAGAATTTCCCATATATATCTGGGACAGGTACAGAATCATTTCTATTTCTGCATGTATTTGGTGTTGATTCGATAACATAGAGATTCGGTTATCAATCTCTCCCTCCACCCAACCAAGTTAGATTTCAATACTGTCACCCTATCCCCCACCCTACTGTGTGACTGAGTTAATTGAGCCTAACATCTACAGTATTTAAGTTTCAGAATAAAATATATAAACAAACTGAAGGTGTTGTCATGGCATCACCAATATCCCCTGTCGTCGCAAACATATTTATGAATAGTTGGGAACGCATGGCCCTTCAAACATTTAGTCCCTTGCCAAAGATATGGTTTCAATATGCAGATGATACGTTAACAACAGTACTGAAATCGGAACACGTCAATGGGTTGTTAGCACATAAATTCAGTAGTGAATGTAATCCAATTTACCTGTGACTTACAAAGTGATGAAGGTGAACTAGGAATGTTGGATTGCAAGATTGAACCAAAACAAGACGGAAATTTAGAGACTAGTGTCTATAGGAAACCTTCCCTCTCGAATTGCTATTTAGACTTCAAATCATTTCACCTCATCTCAGTCAAAGTGGGCTTAATTAAACGCCTAATTGATAGGGCGGAAAAGCTTACTAGTAGATGAGAAAGCCTATGACAAGAAATTACACACCTTAAGAGTACCCTGCATCTCAATAATTACCCACCTAAAGTTATGAATAAATTCATAAGAAATCGAGAGAAAAATATTAGCAGTAGTGGTAGTAGTAACACAGGTGTTATTAATAATAATTCGACTACTAATAAGCTTATAATAGTGGAAGGGTCGAGAGAGAATTTCAAGCCTCTACTGTGTTGTTACCATACAAGGAAGACACCTGAGAAGCATTACGAAGAATTCCCAACAAGGCTGGCTGGGATTAAAGTGGCATTTAAAAGACCCTATTCATGCAACTAGCTAAAATAATTTGCTTTACCGAATTCCTTGCAATGATTGTGAGGTGAAAGAAAATCGGTCAATGTAGTCGGCAGGGGTCAATCAGAATAACAGAGCACGAAAATTCAGCTTAATCAAGATTAGTAGATCCAGGTATAGATCCTAATAAGATACAATCACACAGTAGGGTGGGATAGAGTGATGGTATAAAAAACTAACTTAGTTGGGTGGAGGGAGAGATTAATAACCGAATTTTTGTTTGTTGAATCGACACCAAGTAGATGCAGTAATAGAAATGATTCTAAACCTGTCCCAGATACATGGAAAGTTGTCACAAAGAAGGAGAAAAAATTAGGACTCTATAAACTCTGTCTGAGAGTTGTGGAGTAGTTACCTGATATGAATATGGACAATAAATTGTGTCCGAAACGCTATCCAATATTATTGCACTGCATGAAATTTCCAACAAATAGACTTAATAGAGAAATGTATTTTGAGTCCACTATTGTTATCAGAGCGACTTCCAGGAGAGAGTAGCAGAGATTGTTTGTTCGAAAACTACAATCTTTAGTGAGAAAAATATTAAAGCTTGAAGAAATGCCTAGTAGCCAGTTTTCTCCATTTTAGGGATCATAGTGTTTTTGCCCTTGATACTCCTACTTAACACGGTGTCTTCTTTTTACTGCTGAATCTTTACTAGTTCACAGTTATCACTTCTTTTGTTTTCCAATACAGTGCTATGTACTACTGACATACAGTCTCATAAGTAGTGTTCACCACAGTAGCTCTAGTGTCGAAGAGATTCAGTAGCTTTTAATGTCTTCAAGCTTTATTTTCAACTGTGGTATCTCAGCTAGAGGAAGGGTTGGCATATTCACCCATTGCAATATAACGGTATAGTCTCGGTGTATAACAGATTCATTTTGTGACTGATAACAATATAACTTAGTGACTAAGGTGTATAACCTACAGTTGATGCGTAAGGGCTTACGATATTACCCGATCATCTTGCTTAAACTAGGCAGAACGAAAATTAGTACTAAAAATCCTATTCTTTTGTTTACTTCAATGAGATATAGCAATGTCATTGAAATTATGTAAAGATTTAGTAGGTAACGAATAAAATGTGGACTTTGAAGATATCTAAGTCAGTCATTTTATACAACTTACACTAAAATGATTTTCAACACTTGAAATATTGTAGTGTTCTTAAGAACACCAGAAACACTTAAGAATATCCTGATCTATGTGGCAAACAGAATGACTTATGTTTCGAAATCTACGTGAGCTACTGAGGCTCTATATGTTCCACTAAGAATTCAAGGGACAAATAATAATGATAATAAATAATGATTCAAAGTCTACTTAGGTGGTTTATGGGATATATTAGGCAGGCTACCATATTCTGCACAAAAACTTCTCTAAGGTTAGTGTTAGAAGAAAATCAAAACCGAGAAGTTTTTCACTTTGATTTAAAAATTCAAATAATATTTTTTTTGTGAATTTCTCAAAGAAGGATATTTCTTACATAAAATAGAAACAAGATTGTTTGAACAACTGAACTGAACCCAACTTCAAGAATTCGAAAAACCTAAAGTGTTTAAGGTGAAAATTATGCTTATGCTTATAAAAATTCTAATTTACAATTTGTATACTTGTAAAACGTAATACGTTAACATCATTAACATAATCATTCTCCAACCACTTTACACATGGACAATCATTTATACAGAGTTACTTTGACTCATTTACTGATATCAAACTTTAAGAACACTATGGATCCCAACTTACTGTTATTTCGATTATGCCCTAAGAATTAAATGACTAGACATGAGTAAAGGTTATCCTATTCTAGTTGTATGGATCAGGTAACATAAAATTAAGTCTACTTCAAATTGTCATGTTAAGAGAAGTTTGATTAGATTGGAATTTTAGTTCAGAGTGGTTAGATGAAGATATGGCACCATTCTATGAAGTTTCTGACTGTTGGTCTGAGGCGTTTAGGAAGTGTTGACTATCTGGCTGTAGTCTGTGAGATGATAGAAATCGGTGGTTAAGAATTTTTGGTGACATGACTGAAAACCGGTCTCATGACATCTTCTTAAGCTTGAATTTTGTAATAGCCTTTATCTTCAAATTGTTCATTGTCTCATACAACTTTGTCTATGTGTGTGTGTGTGTGTGTGAAATTTTACGTTGATTTTGTCTGTAATGTCCAGGAACACTAAAAATCTAGATACATTAACCATAAGTAATAGAGGAATGCACCTACTTTTTTCTAAAGCCTCCTTCAGGCAAAAAAACAGACAAAATTATGATTATGGATTATTTATTTATTTCCCATATCGTGAGATTACTTACTTTTGTTATTGGTTTTTCTTCAAGTTTTCCATGGTAAAAAAAGGGCAAAGAAACAAAAATAAATGCATATAATACAAACTCAACTGGGTCATCTCCATAGCTAGCCCAATAATTACGCCAGAAAGGCAGCATTCTGATCAAGTCAATAAAAGCTATTAACTATGTCCAGTTTTATGCAATAGGCTATAAATCAACACTTCAGAAAAAAAATACTAGTCCCATACTAGGACGAAACAGCTATCCAGTGCTCCCAGAGTTTCAATGGTTCCTCAACTGATGTCAGTCCATGATGAATACTACTTCTAAATTAAAAGTCCCCATTCATCTCAAAAATACATTAATGTATAGCACTCATTAGTGACTTGCTTCCAGATGGATATCATGAAGCTCTAATAAGAAGCCGTGACCTGTGGGGTCAACTAGTCGGAAGTGAAGTGGATGCTAACTGAAGACCTTAGATGATAGTCGCGCTATATTGTGAATTGATAGAAGTTGGAAATTGTGAACCATTGGAAACTGACCTAGTGGTTGAATGGTTAACGCGTTCGCCGTGAAACCTGAAGGTCCTGAGTTCGATTCCTGGCCAGGTTGTGGGTGCGTACTGCTGAGGAGTCCCATACTAGGACGAAACAGCTGTCCAGTGCTCCCAGATTCTCAATGGTTCCTCAACTGATGTCAATCCATAATGAATACTACTTCTAAATACTAGTAAGACAATCTGGTCAAAAAAGCTAGATGCTAGATGGAAAATGTTTAAGAAGTAAGAACCATTGGCTTAAGATCGATTCAGCTAGATGAGACACACTTAGAAAGTGCTATGACAACAAATGCTCATTTTTTTTATTGAGCTATGACTGACTGGTCTAGAAGATTGATTTTTAACCAATAGGTCATAGGATTAAGCCTAGCTCAAACTACCAAGGTTTGAAGGATCACGCAATACAATTAGCTGCCACACAATAAGTGTGGCTTATTACTGTGAGCAGTTTACTCATAACCGTAGATTCTTTGGCAAAAGAAATAAGTCGATTGACTAGGATTAGCATCTTTATCGCTTAGAATGAGTAAACCAGATTCTACGTCAAAATGCCAGGTTAACCAAGGTATAAAAAGTATTGATTAGTCCCATTGGAAAATAACTGATAGAGTTTGATTAGCACGTAGAAGTAGACAGCATGAAATTTGTTAATCTACCGTGATTGATCAATCCCATGGGAGGGGAATTGCAGTGGTCAAATTTCTAACAGTAATACTGGGTAA